GCTCCCCTTGACTGCAAAGGACGAAACAGAGCCAATGGGAGCCACGAGGCTCCATGGTCACGGCACTAATAAATAAACAGGAGAGGCTGGTTAATGTGTTTCTCAAAGTGGTTTTGTGGAGCACTTTCAGAAACATTGTCCTATATCACCTACTTTGAAATCACAGCAGCTACAATACAAAGCCAAAATACTATACCAGACTTGTATATGCAGTATCACTGTAATCATGCAGATGGACTTCCAGAGCACATATTTGTGTTATTGAGCAATCAGGTTGCCATACATAGCAAAGATCATTGGATATGGTCCAGTATACTTCCTCCAGCACTGTCAATAACTGATACTTCAGCTACTTGGGAGGAGGGGAGATGTGTGGAGAAAATATCCCAAGTCTTCTAAAATCCATATATTCCAGGCATTCTGATTTATGAAGTTAGCTGGAAATACCACAAGATATATCCCTGTTGTCCAGTGACGTGTATTTTGATAGCATATTTTTCCTAATGGTAAAATATTTGGGTGAAGTGCTTCTTGATTTTCTACACCTCTTCAAGCTTTTTATGTATTCCAATAGCCTGTACCACGTTTGGCTTTTTAGAAAATATATTTGTCTATTATGATACTGGGTTAGCACATAACAATATTGTCATATTAATAGCCCATCAGTTTTAAATTAGCATCTCAAATAAATGAGAAGGGACTGGGACAGTGGAACTACGCTTCAGTAATAAGGACTCACTAATCATTCAAGGCAAGGGGGGTAAGGAAGAGAGGTAATTTGGCTTCAGAGAGAGCTATTGGCTGAATTTATTTTGAAACCAATGTTCCTATTTGTAAAAAAGTCTGCATGCCAGTCAGCGTTCTAGCTACAAAGCTGGTAGAGAACATAATGCTACAGTAAATACTTCAACTGTGATCTGGAGAACTGAGACTCCATTCCCATGCAGTGTTTGGCCTCAACTACTTAGATTTACAGTAAGTAGTGTTTTTGACATGGTGACCGATCTTCCAGAAAGAGGGGGGCTTACAGACTTGCCTGGACCCTGGCCAAGGTGGACAGCTCCACGCTCTTAGAAGGGGCAGGGTCTCAGGCAGAAGGAGTGGAGCTGGGGGCAGCCAGGACTCAGCACTTACTGGATTGCACACGCTGCAGCCAGCCCTGAGCACACTTCGCTGCACTTCAGTGGTGATTTCAAGGGCCTAGGGTTTCAGACACCACTGCTCCTGCCCTCACAGCAGCTAGGAGCCCCTGGCCCTTTTGTATCACCGGACTTCCAGGGCAACTACCCTCTTTGTTCTTTTCTCTCCCCCATCTGTGGGCCTGTACACGATCAGAGACTCATTTCTCTTATGCCCTCTGAAAGCCATTAAATGGTAACACAGTCACCAAAACCAAAACTAGGCTAGGTTCCATCAAACTACCTTATTGTTTATATTAAATTAGAATCCGAAATGTCCTAGGTGTTTTCCAAAAACGTATAAGAAAATAGTCCCTGCCCCCAAAAAGTCTACAGTTCAACAGTAGCCGTGACAAGTAAAGGCGTCTACATGTTGAGGGTAGAAGGCTGGGGAGAAAAGGAAGGGAAATTAGAAGATGAGAGTTATGGAAATAAGGTCATGTCATTATTTTGCAGTTAAACACATTTTATAACCAGACTTTATGCATGTCTAAAGCTAACCATACAGGCACCAAAACCATTCAAATTGTCTTCTAGAGAGGAGTGCCCTCTTACTCATCTCTCCCATCACCACATCCTTCATCACTCAATCACTCCCCTCACATTTTATGTCCTGCTCCACCACCCAAATACCCTCTTGTCCTCAACTCTTCGCTGAAAAGTCAGAGTAAGTCTTGTGAATACTTTACAAAATCATAGAAAATTAGGATTGGAAGAGACCTCAGGAGATAATCTAGTTCAACCCCTTACTCTAAGCAAGACCAACCCCAACTAAATCAACCCACCCATGCTGTGTCAAACTGGGCTTAAAAACCTTGAGGGATGGAGATTCCACCACTTTCCTATGCTTCACCACCCTTCCATTGGAGCTGGAGACCATTGTTTCTTGTTCTATTATCTGCCCTCAATGAGAACAGCCTAGCTTGGTCCTCTTTAGACCCCCTTCAGGGTATTGAAGGCTGCTATCAAATCCCCCTTCGCTCTTCTCTTCTGCACATAAATAAGTCCAGTCCCTTTAGTCTCTCCTTATAAGTCATATGTCCCATCCCTCTAATCATATTTGTTTTCCTCTGCTAGACTCTCTACAGTTTGTCCACACCTTTCTGTAGTGGGGAGGGGCCTAAAATGGGACACAGTACTTCATATATGGCCTCACCAATGGCCAATAGACAAATAACTGCTTCATATAATCTGTTGGCAGTGCTCCTACTAATAATGCAGCTTAATATGCTATTAGCCTTCTTGCCAATAAGGTCATATTGTTAACTCATATCCTGCTTCTTGTCCATTGAAAGCTGTTTCTACTTTGCACCATCTTCTACTGGCTAATGAGTCTGCTTTATTCCTCTTGCTATTAGCCACTAACATGAGGGGGTTATCGCAGATGACCAGCAACATAACAAGAAAATGTCAGGTTACAGTTATTACTTAGGGACCCAGAGAGCATGAAGATCCCATGGAACTGCTCTGCTCGTGCGACAACTAGGTCTTTTGCTGGTGTAGTTTCTGGCTTGTTCATGGTAGCATTCTTCCAACCTCATCTATTGAGATTACTAAGCATTTAATAGTATAGTCCCGGGTGTGTAAGTAGAATATGGCTCTGCTGGACCTCTCTCCATGCAGATCTGCCAGTTCAGCAGTTTTTGGCTAGTGTAGTTTCTGACTCTCATTATCAATTTCATTAACTATCCAGTCTCTTCGAAAGTGTGAGGCTTAAGTCAGTTCCTTGAACACAGATCATGGGTCCTAAATGATATAGCACACTTATTTCAGTTTTAGGGACACAGAAGTAAAATGTAAGAAATTGTATGTATATACTGTCATGCTTATTTTCTTTTAAAAAAATATTTTAGCCCACAAAGTAACCTTAGAGTAATTTTTACCCTTTAATTTCCTTTATATATGGCAGTATATTTATATTCAAGTTGTTCCGTTTGACCCTTCTTCAAGTTTCTAGACAGTTTCTTATCTCTACTATACCCATTCCTGAATTTACTTGCCCAAGTCACTTTAATATGAAAGATATATGTAATTTATTTTATTACCCATCTGTCAAATTTGCCTCCTAATACACTAAATGATCTGTGAACCATTGGGAGCCGTTACTCTCAGGCAGGCACTCTGCATGTGAAAGCATATATGAGTGCATGTGCTTACACTTGGTTTAACCAATCAATTTATTTATATAAAAATTCAAAACAGGAAAAGCATTTACTCCACACATTTAGAACTACATTTTCACAGTATGGGGCTATGAGGATATATATAATTCAGGTAACTACAGAACACTATAAATGCACAGGATACTTGTACATTTTAAGGAGCAGCACCTATTGAGCACCCCTTTCAAAATGTTGAGTCTTAGGGTACGTCTAAACTACATGGCTCCATCGATGGAGCCATGTAGATTTGATTGTTCAGCAAAGGGAAATGAAGCCGCGATTTAAATAATCGCGGCTTCATTTAAATTTAAATGGCTGCTCCGTTGAGTCAACAAACAGCTGATCAGCTGTTTGTCGGTTCAGCGGGGCAGCCATTTAAATTTAAATGAAGCCGCGATTATTTAAATCACGGCTTCATTTCCCTTTGCCGATCAGCCTAATGTACATCGATGGAGCCATGTATTTTAGACACACCCTTAAGGACTAATGCACTCTGCACACATTATTTTTTTAATCGGTTTTATATTAGTCCAAGAACTATTCCCCCCACATTTTTTTACTTTTCCCCTTATATTTTAGCCTCAAAATGAATTTTTCAGCATAATCACTAAATACTTGAGAACTATGGGTTAAGAATAGAAACGTAGAAGTATGATCTTAAATAAAAGTATCAATGCATCAACCTTTTCAGTAGGACACACTTTTAAATCAACTTTAATTGGGTTTTTTTGGAGGAAGGAGGTTGCCTTGCACACCTTGCAGTACCGAGTAATCCTATTTATCTTTTTTTTTGGAGTAGAGGAAGGAGGTTGCCTTGCACATCTTGCAGTACCGAGTAATCCTATTTATCAAAGTCCTATTACTATATGGTTCAATCCCTAAGTTCAGACTCCGTTTTTTCAATATGTCATCTCTACCTACAAGTAAAATCCACAGTAAATATAAAGGACCATAGCCTTCTTGAAAGCTTCAAGTTCCTGTTACTAGTGACTTCTCTCACCTAAATGGCTTCTTTTTACAATATCAGACAAAGAAGGAATTACGTGAGATAAATCTGAAATGTTTTTGCTACCCAAAAACAGGATACATTAGAAGACATATAGTCAAGGAATTTAAAGAAAATTGAACTATCAATATTAAATTTCTTTAAATAAACGAGACTGACAATATTTTTAAAAAATACTTTTCTTCATCCATGCTGTGGTAGTTAGATATAAATTAGGCAGAGAAATTAGATAGCTCTTTTTTTACAGCCCTTTTTACTTTATGGCCCATATATATACTAGAGATATATAATTTTGTGTAATTGGCTAATCAATTAAGAGAGGGCTGCTCCAGTCCTGCTTGTCCTTATAGAACAGTGGTGGGAACCTTTTTTGGATCAGGGCTGCTAACCCATAGAAAAATCAGTCACAGGGAGGGCAGCGGGGGCTGGAGTGTCAACATGGGCTCACCAATGCTAGGGGGGTAGCCTTGAGCCCTGGAGTCTGGATTCAGGCAATCCAGGGACCACATCTGCCCCTAGGCCTTAGGTTCCACATCCCTGTTACAGAGGAACAGATTTAATCAGTTACAAACTCCACCATCTCCAGCATTAAGGACACAACTGACACTGGTGGAGATCTAGAGACAATATCACGATACACAGAACTTTGCTTACCATGCTGTGTGAAGAGATCACTGTGAACGATTTCGATCAAACAGTACAGCTTCTGAATTGTAAGCCGGCCCATTGGAACATTTAGGATGAAATCTGTGAACAGCTTGCTATACACAAACAGGCAATTAAGAAAAGGAATATGTTAATTTCTCAAAAGTATTTGAAAGCAAATGTTTGTATCTAGAGAGGAAACCAATCAGTAAGTTCTGTAAATATTTGGGAGGAGCAGAAGAGGACCAAGACCTTTTCTCCACAGTGAGGAGTTATGGAAAGGCAATTCAGAGTTCAGAAGTTGTTTAAATTTTTTTGGTCATGATATTTATTCCTACTCCTCATTTTCCTCTCTCGCTCTACTACACATGAACAAGCATACACCTTCTCCATTTTTTCATCCAGCTTATATATTCCAAAGTTGAACTGTGGAACAGCAGCAATGCATATAGACAATTAAAACATGAATGTGAATCACTTTAACTGCAAAAGCCTGAAATTTAGGTAAGGGAAAGAAGCATAGGAGCAAGGATCCTTATTCAATTTGCTCTGCCTTCCTCCCTATTGGCAGATCTGAGACTGCAGCAGAAAAATTTGGGACCAGAAGGGACCATTAGAGTCATTGCTGACAACCTGCAAACAGAGGACATTGAACTTGACCCAATAGTTTTTGCACCAAGGCCTGTAACTTGTGGTTGAACTAATCATACCTCTTGGAAAGATATTCAATCTTGTTAAAATCTTAAAGTAATGGAAAACTAACATCCTTTAGTCCAATGGCTAGTATTTCACTTCTGAACAAATTTTTTGATACTTTCTACCACTGCGCATTTGTCAAAAATGATTTAGTCTTGGACTTCTACACTCAGGGCTCTAGGAGAACTATTAGAAAACAATATATAGAGGTATGAATAGCAAGTAAATGAAAAGTTATATTCCAGCTTCTGAATACAATCAACACTTTAAGCAATAATTTTAATTTTTCTACAATGTATTTCCAAACTGAATTTTAGCTTTTGAATTATAGCCTTCTAATTTTCAAGTCTCCAAGCGTTTATTTTTTAAAAATTTACTGTGAACTTCCACATTTATTTTTTATTAACATTTGAATGTTCTCTTAACTACCTCAATGACAGAATATACAACTGCATACAACACAGTAGAGTCTGAGCAGCCAAAACATCTAAAAAAGATTACCACGTATCTTTTTTACATGTTAAAAGTAATACCAAGTCTTAGTAGTTTGATTTTATTTTAAACAAATTTTCTCCTTTACCTTTTTTGTTCAAGGAGGTCAATGAAGAGATGACTGTACTCTCCTACAATTTCCACACACATCTGGTGTGCACTGAACTATAGCAAAGCTATCATTATTAAAATCAATTCAGGTGCAAAGTGGTGTGTCAGACACATGAATTATAAGTAATATCATTCCCATGATTTATAGTTTTTATCATCTCATATTATCTTTATTAGATATGCTTGGAAATTTGTAAATAAAAATATAAACTTTCCTACTATACATTTTACTTTAGAATAAAAGCATTTATGTATACCCCTGAACATGGACAGAGCAAAGAATTGTGATCACCAATGGGCATTATCATAGATAACCACAATGTCTTGTCCTAGAGCAGGCACAGAGCACCTTTTTTATTCCTAGGCCATCGACCGGAGGGTGGGGTGATCATATATTCCAAAGTTGAATAAATAATTCAACTGTGGCACAGCAGCGATGCATATAGACACACTGATTATAGGTCACACAAAAGTAAAAAAACAATTGCATTTAGGTTTTTATTTTCTTTTATTAAGAGAAAGAAAAATATTTCATGTTCAACTCACCTACCTGGGGGCGGGGGGAGGGGGAAGTGAGGGAGGGACACTGAGACTCATGGCTTCTCACTCAAAGCAGGGTTAGTCAATACAGGGGAATGAAAGGGGCAAGACTTGGGGATTTCTGCCTATGGCAGGATGAGCCAGTGCTCACAGCTCTCAGCCCTGAGAGAAGGGCATTGAGATTTGCAATCTGAAATTAAGCAGTGGGCAGAGGTTCCCCAGCCCTGTTCTAGGGATTCAACTTACCATTATAGCAATAAAAATTAATGTAAGATATTATTCATTAAATAATTATACCCCAAGTTCAAATACAAAAATAGAGATCTAGACAAATGGACGTACACAGTACAGTACTTCATTATCGTTACTTACCTAAGTTCTTTTGGATCAAATACCAATTTCACATCATTGACAATAGTTGGCAAATATTTAAGTGCAGACCCCTGAAAATTAAAGACAGAGCAATTAACTTAGTGTGAACACCAGTTTGACAGTCACCACAACTTAAAGTTATGATACACAATTCACTGAAAGGGAGAGATTTAAAATAAGAGCATTGTACAACATTACAAGATGGGTCATTTAAACAAAAACTATTTGAATTAACAAGAGGCAAATTCCTCTTACTGCCATATGTTGTAATGTCCCCGTCCCCCCTCAAAAAAGGTAGCAATGGACGGAAATATTTGTCTGTGGAAAATAATTAAAAACATAGCAAAGCCACGTGAAGTCCATCAACCCTGCAGAAACCTAAAGGCATCATCAGACAAGTAAATTATATCAACTGAATCGCCCTTGTCCACATGCTTGTTGACACTGTCTAGATATACCGAATGAAGTACAGAAGAAACTCACAGATATTGAAATCAGATACAACTTTATTATTAGATATCTGGGCAAATCCATGTTCATTTGAATAACTAATGGAGGTTTCCACCAGGCATTCCACTTTCCATCCAGCTGCCCCATCCACCCATGGCTTGGACCTTACCATTCACCGCCCCTCACAGGAGATTTCATGCGGGATATGAGAGTTGGCTCCCTGCCACACCAATCATAGGAACTCTGAATCCTCCCAGCCCCAAGTATGTGGAGCAGGAGCTACTGAGAGAACCAGCCCTTTGCAAAGGGTTCTGCACTTACGTTCCCAAAGAATGAGTCAGAATTGTCCACATTGAATTCCATCCTTCCTTTTTGCAGAAACTTCCAACCTTCTTTTCACTCACCTATGAGGCACTGCTGCCCTTCCTCTAGAAAGCCCAAAGAAAGTCTCCCACCTTTTACAACCCTCATTTCAGGTGCGGTGCAGTCATCCTCAAATAATTTTAATATTGATGAGTTTCAGGTTTTTTCCAACATATCAGATTCATCTATGTGCCTGATATTCTACTCTGAATTACAGTTTAAACTAATCTGCCTGGTATTGAAGTTAGGCCTATCAGCCTGTAATTGCAAAGACCACCTCTGTTGTGTTTTTTTTAAACCTGATCATTTAGGATAAATAATAAGGAATATACTTATTTAATTTTAGATCTGTATATCTCTTTTGCTGACTAACATTAAAATACAGTGGGGTGGTTAGATATGTCTTTGCAGAGACTGTGTCACTTGATTACACAATCATATTTCCATGAAAGGTTAAACTACAAGCCATATAACAAAAGGAGGAGCTCTACGAAAGGACATTCCTAAACTACTGGGAAAACTTGAAGGATTCAGTACATAATCGACCTCCTTAACCCCTTTTCCTCCTATGCTTAGCCTCAGAACCTGTCTCACCACATCAATGTCAATAAAAATTTGTTATGCTAGTTTCCACAACCCTAAAGGTCAAAGAATGCTGTCAAAGATTTATCAGCAACTGTTACCCTCTCGTCTTTTCCTTTACAATAAAGTGATTGATGCACAAAGTCTCTCACTTTTCTAGTTCCTATCACATAATAAAGGTAGGTCTGAAATCTCTGGATAAACTATGAAAATTGTTTCTCTTGTAGAAACTGCCTTCCACCCACTAATTAAAGTTCTTGCTTCCTTCTCGTCCTCTGAGCTTTGAATACGGTTAATCATTTTAACATTCAACACCACATTATGAAATTACTAGTAATAGACATAAATATAAATAAATTATATACAGTACTTTCTTAGAGTACGTCTAGACTACATGCCTCTGTCGCCAGAGGCATGTAGATTAGGCTACCAGACATAGGAAAATGAAGCGGCGATTTAAATAATCGCCGCTTCATTTAAATTTACATGGCTGCTGTGCTGAG